AGCATTGCCATTGGGTGTTCTAATTGGAAAATTCTCCTCTAGCAATGATAGACTATTTCTTGTGCTCCTCATTTTAAGTGGGGGTTCTTCTTTGGGTTTGATGTCTCTGCATAATATAGGCGATGGTTGCCATGGTCCTTTCTGTCCACTGTACTTTGATAAAATTGCAGGCAATTCTTAGGCTGGCACACTCTTGATAGATTTTTATATAGAAAACCTAGTTTTGGTTCCCCCCCCCCTTACCATATTTACAGATGTTTGGGATATATTTCTTCTATAGATTAAATAGGGTTGGGTACTTCTCAACCTACTGACATTCACATGTGAGACAACTTCCCATTCTGTTTAAGACCAATGCCTCTATCCTTTTCTGGGAATTTTATTATATACCCTGAAGTCATTAAAGACTCTTGTCTACATTTTCTATTTATTATACATTTTATAATGAATGCTGGATTTTCAGTCTGAAAATGCAAAGGTAATTTTATATTTGTATTATTCAAACTAGGACCAACAACTCCTTTTCAATAGAATGTGAACACATGTTCTCTTAATAAACACTTTAATAATTAATAATATGATAGACAAAACATTTTTCATCTGTTGAAATCTACTATGTGGTTCTTTTTGCATAAATTTAAGACAGGTGTAACAGTACTAAAAAAGAGAGAAATGAAACTAAGTCATCTTTATGAATGTCACAGAAAGCATGTTCCCTTTATTTCCTGCTCGCAGCTCAGAAACTGTTAACAGAGGTTACTGCTTCTCAGCCCATATTAGGTGGATGATAGGTTTGAGATGGAAAAAACCCTTGTTTACAGTTAAACCTTATACATGTCAATTAAAAGCTTTTGTAAACGGTGTTTCTCTGCATATTTGTAAGTGATGATGTAGCAATCCCTGGTGACACAAAGTTCAAGCTCATGGATGCTCTTTGAAAGGTGAGTAGTTACCACCCACCAGCTCGTCCCTTGCACCATTAAACTGACACTCTGTGTCCAAAAAGATTACAGTTTAGAGAACCCTATGGGGGCAGTTGCAGTCTCTAGTAAAGGGTCACCTTTAGTCAAAATAGATGATACATATACAAAACAACATGTGATTCTCAAATATGATGCAGTCTGGATTCTCCCTAAAAGATATTAACCACGTGTTTCTTCCAGGTGCTCCTAATCTGAATTCTAGTCCTAGTCAACTGTTTTGGATAATGACACGTTTGCTCTTTATGATACTACTTAGGTCTCAAAAATAATTTTCATTTTGTCTTTTAAACTTGGCTGACTTTCCTGAGGCCTCTGGCTTCAGGGATTCCTTTCATTAAATTTTGAAATTAATTAATTGCTATTTATGTTTTCTTTATTCACTGCTACACCTGACTTACTCTCTATTGGAATGTGATAATCTCTTAAGTCTCCTCACTATTTAAAAAAAATATTGAGGGCTCTTACAGTTCTTGTGCCCATACATCAATTGTATCAAGAACATTTGTATATATGTCACCATCATTATTTCCTAGACATTTCTTTTCTTAAAAAAAATCCGTTTATTGGGGGGTCATACAACTCTTATCACAATCCATACATCCATCCATTGTAGCCTTATCACTCTTAGTTT